AATGCGCCACTACAGACCCTGCACATGGACGTCTGGGGCCCAACCCCGGTCCCTGGGCCGCATCGCGAGCGCTACTTTCTACTCTTAGTTGACGACTACACGTGCTACACCACCGTGTTTCCCTTGGAGTGGAAGGCCGACATGCTATACGTTCTTATTCCGTGGGTCGTAGCTTCGCGAGTCCACCGACGTCTCCCTGTCTAGCGTCTCCACTTCGACCGTGTCGGTGAGTTCGCCTCTGGCCGGCTTGGTCAGTTTTGTCGTGTGGAGGGCATCACCCAGTCGTTCTCCCTGCCAGACTCTCCACAGCAGAATGGGGTCGCTGAGTGCCGCATCGGCTTGGTCATAGAGGTGGCTCGTACCTCCATGATTCATTCTGGTGCACCATTTTCTGTGGTCGTTCGCAGTTCGCTACGCCGCCCACCAGCTTAACCTGAGGCCGCACTCCCAGCGGTAGCAGGTTTCACCGACCCTCCTCCGGACCGAGTCCCTTGGTGACACGTCTGCATTCCACGTCTGGGGCTGCCTTGCTCACGTTCGTGCCTCCAGCACGGACAAGCTCACGTCCCATACCGTCCCTTGTGTTTTCCTTGGTTTCCCCCTCGACGCGTTGGACTAGCATTTCTACCACCTGCCGTCCCACCGCTTCTTTCACTCGGGTGACATCATCTCTGACGAGTTTGTCTCTTTCTACGCCCGTTTTCCCCACCGAGGTCTCCCGGTTTCCCCGCCCCTGTTCCTGGTCCCCGCTCCCCCGGTAGCCCTTGCTCCCCCCCCTCCTCGTCCTGCCCCATCTGGTATGTCTCACGTCACTCCCCTTCCGTCTAACGTCCCGGTGGAGGAGTCGGCTGATTCTGGTGGCCCTGCGGCTCTGGGTTAGCCGCCTATCTCCGCCCCAGTGTCTCCTTCCTCGCCGCCGCAGCACCCGCCTTCGCCACCGTCGCAGCAGCTGCAACCACCGTCGCCGCCGCAGCAACCGCAACCACCGCCGTCGCCACCGCTGGGTTCGCTCGGGGGGTGCGGGCGTTGAGGAGGTTGCTGGGGAGGGTGATAGTCCTGGGGTTACAGTCGTGGCTCGTCCCGGCAGTCCCGGGGGCGGCACGAGTGCTGGAGAGGGTGCTAGTTTTGGGGGTGCTCATCGTGGTGTGGAGCAACAGCGGCAGCCGTAGCCTGAGCAGCAGTCACCGCCGGTGTCCACCCTTCACCTCCTTGGTCTTCCCTCCCCCAACCACCAGGCTGCTCCTCCTCCTTTGCTGCCTCCCCTGCCGGTCTACGGCCCTGTGTTTCCTCTGCTGGACTCGTCCCCGGCTAGTTTCCCCCCTCGTTCCCCTCTTGTGTCTCCTCCTCTCTCTCTAGAGCCGCACCTCCCTCTCACGTCTGGTCTCGCCGCCCCCCTCGTGCTTGTCTTGTCTCTCCTGTTCAGTGCTCTCACCCCATGTTGCTTTATTCCCACGCGATTTGTGCTTCTCCACTCCTTCCTTCGCCCTCCTCCGTCGTCGCTTGCTGTCACACCGCCTCCTTTTTTTGACTTTCTTCGTGCTGCGCGTCCCTTTGTCCCTTGAGTCCTTGCCTCTCTTGCTACCAACCCGTCCGTTCCTGTAGCTAGTCTGGCGCCTCTTGTCGCTGCTGTCGCTGCCTTTGCCTTTACCCACCGCCTTGACTACGCCACCGCTCTCGTCTCTGGCCTTGCCGGCCCTCCTTCCGTCGGGGGTGCTCCTTCCATTGGAAGTGGCGTCCTAGTGGACAGGCAGTACGAGCTTGCTTTCCTATCCGAGGCCGCTCCCCATCTCTGTTCCATGCTGCCAGTCCCTTAGGGTGACCCAGACGCTCTTGACATCCCGACAATACGCACCTATGCTGAGGCCACCTCGGGACCCTAGGCCTCTCAATGGATAGCTGCCATGGAGCAGTAGATGGCATATTGGAGATCTACCAGCACCTTCGTCGACGCAGTTCCCCGACCTAGGGTGAACGTGGTCGATGGCCGGTGGCTTTCCAAGGTGAAGCGCCCTTTTGGAGAGCCGCCTGTGTTTAAGGCGCGCTACGTAGCAAAAGGCTTCAGTTAGCGTGAGGGTGTTGACTTCTTTCAGACCTTCTCTCCGACCCCGAAGATGACTACTCTTCGGGTGCTGCTATACGTAGCAGCACAGCGTGACTATGAGCTACACTCCCTCGACTTCTCGACGGCGTTTCTCCAGGGCAGTCTACACGAGCACGTCTACCTGCGTCGTTAGCAGGGCTTCACTGGTACCTTTCCCTCCTGGGACTAAGTGGCTCCTCTGCACAGCCCACACCTCTGCCGGTAGACCACAGGCTCTACGCTCCAGTTCCCGAGGAGTCAGCAGAGTCCAATGGTCCTTCCGCAGAGCTGGTGGGTTGCCTCATGTACCTGATGACTTGCATTCGCCCAGATATCGCATACCCTCTCAGCATTCTGGCCCGCTTTGTGGCCAAAGGCAGACATCGACCACTAAGAGGGTTTTGCGTTATCTTGCAAGTACATCGGGCATGGGGCTAGTGCTAGGCGGACGCAGGCCAGTGGTCCTGACAGGGCACACAGACGCTTCGTGGGCAGACGACGCTGAGACACTCAGGTCCTCCCAGGGCTGCTTCTTTAGCCTTGGTGCAGGTGCCGTCTCGTGGAGGTCCACCTGCTCGTCGTCTGTTGCCCAGTCTAGCTGTGAGGCTGAGATCTACGCCGGTGCCATGGCGGCACAGGAGCTCCACTGGCTGACCTTCTTGCTCACAAGCTTAGGTGCCCGGTCCTGTACGCTGACAACAGGGCCATGATCCTCTTGTGTAAGGAGCCTCGACTGGAGGGCAGGGCGAAGCACATCCAGCTGCAGTACTTCCTCCTGCGCGAGCTACAGCAGCGCCCCCAGGCCCGCGTAGTACACTTGGCCTTTGGTGCCAACAGAGCTGATATCTTTACTAAGGCGCTTCTGCCTAAAGATCATCAGCGGCACTGTGTGCAGCTTGGTCTAGTTCCTGTAGCTCCTCACTTACTAGGACCTTGATTGTGTACTTCTCTTTTATATATGCTCTCGTGACTGGCCTTGTGACTTTCCTTCCAGTGGCCAGACTAGTAGTGCCGATTCGTCAAGGAATGGAGCCGAGGGTTTGTGCTCTACTGGCAGAGGTGTGGGCTATGCGGAGGAGAACTGAAGACCAAACCTCTGAAGGATCTGGCGCACCAAGTGTGACTGTGTGAGAGTGATGGTACACGCTGCTCTATCCCTGGAGATCTGGAGGTCAAGGTAGCGACGCAGCTGTCCTGGATTAGTGCAGGTGTGTCTCCTCAGCAGCTCAGCCTTCACGGAGTTTAGTGCGTCTCTGTCTGTGGTAACAAAGACCGGGTCGTCTACATAGACAAGGATGTAGAACGGGGTCTGGCCCAAACGAACGAAGAGCCAAGGGTCTTCAAAATATGAGAAAAAATGCAGGTCAGCTAACGTAGCACGCAGCGTGTCGTGCCACTCACGAGGCACCTGGCGCATGACGCAAACCGGGCATCAGAGGAGCCACTCGGTCCCAAGAGGGAAAGAGTAAGAGAAGCCCGATGGTCGGCGTAGGTAGACCTGCTCGTGCAAACTGTCATGAAGAAACGCTGCGGACAAATCAAGAGAATGGAGCTCGTAGTTGCGCTGTGCTGCTACGTGAAGTTGCGCCCGAAGAGTGGTCATCTTCGGGGTCGGGGAGAAGGTTTGAAAGAGGTCAACACCCTCGCGCTGACTGAAGCCTCTAGCAACGTAGCGCGCATTGAATACTGGCGGCTCTCCAGGAAGGCGCTTCACCTTGAAAAGCCACCGACCATTGACTATGTTCACCCCAGGTGGGGGAGCTGCATCGATGTAGGTGTCACAGGATCGAATGTGTCGAGGAAAGGTTCCACTATCGGTCAGTACAAGGCGCTTTTATACTTCCAAAGTACATCAGGTAACCAGGTTTATCTTATCCTAAGGGAATAGACCCTTCTAGAAGATAGAATCACCCTGCGTATAGCCACGCGAGGCTATTGGCTTTAAGGGATAGATAGCGCACCAGTACATCCCAAGCCTGGTCGGTGATATAATTATAATCGCAGGATAAACCAAAGGTTAATGGAAAATGGAGAATAGGAAACCAAATGAGATGAGATAAAGATAAATGAACGAGGAAGGAAAAGAAGAAAAGGGACAAGTGGTGTAACGGGGTCGTACTCTCACACTTCCCCCCCTCAAAGCTGGGTGGTAGAAGTAACACCCTGCTTGACAAGGTAGTCATGCAGAGGGCGACGGGCGTTACCCATATCGGACTCAGGGACCCAGCTGTCCTCAGAGGGATCATAACCCTTCCAACGGATGAGAGGCTCCACGGTGCCATTCCGACGTCGGCGGTGTGCTAGCACGGACTCGACCTCGTACTCGGGTTCATTGTGGACAAGGACGGGTGGCGGCGGCGGCGGTTGGCGTCCGACGAAGATCGTGTTCGGATCCCGGTAGGGCTTCAGAAGCTGGACATGGAAGGCGTTGTGAATCTTCCAAGTAGCTGGCAGGCGTAAGCGGAAGGTAACAGGAGTGACATGTGCTTCAACGAGAAAAGGCCCGCAGAAGCGAGGTCGAAGTTTAGATGGGAGGTGGCTGATGTCCAGGTTGCGGGTGTCAAGGAGCACCTGGTCTCCTACCGTGATGGTGTGGTCGTTGCGATGGCGATCGGCCTGGCGCTTTTGTTGCTGTTGAATGTCAAGGAGGCGCTTATGGGTCCGATCTCAAAGCTGATGCATGGTTGTGATGAAATCATGTGCAGGTTGTACCGTAGCGGATGTTGTCGGTTTCTGTGGTGTGAGTGGGTGGCGTCCGTAGCAGAGGAAGAACGGCGTTTGTCCAGTAGCGGCATGCGTAGCATTGTTGTAAGCAAACTCTAGTACGGGCAGGTGCAAGTCCCATTTGGAGATGTCGTCCTTGCAGGCTGCTCAAAGGAGTTGCTCAACAATTTGGTTGAGGCGCTCGGTCTGTCCGTCTGTCTGCGGATGGTATGCGGATTACATGGCAAGTTTGGTTCCGAGAAGAGACATCAGTTCCTTCCAGAACTTGCTGGTGAACTTGGGGTCTCGGTCGGAGATGAGTGTGGTTGGAATGCCATGCTGTGAGATGATGTGATGAACGAAGAGTTGTGCTGTCTCCTCGGTGAGCGCCGTCGTGTGTGTCGGGATGAAGTGTCCCATTTTGGAGAACTTGTCGATGACGACAAGGATTGCGTCATGACCGCTGGTGGTAGGTGGTAACCCGGTGATGAAGTCCAGGCTAACCACTTGCCATGGCTGTTCTGGGACAGGAAGAGGCTGCAGTAGTCCCGCCTTTTTCTGCTTGCTGCTCTTCATCCGCTGACATGTATCACACGAGGTGACAAATTTCTGTACGTCATCTGCCATGTGGGGCCAGTAGTAGTGTTTGGCGATACCGGTGAGCGTCTTGTTGCTACCGAAGTGTCTGGCATATAGGACGTCGTGGTATTCTTCGAGTAGTAACTGGCGCAAAGGAGGGTAATTGGGTACCCAATTTTTCGTTGATCCTTTCCGGTATGCGATGTCACTGTCCCACTGTAGCAAATGTCGCTTTTCCGTCAAGGAGATTTCGGGGTCGATGGCGTACCCGTGTGTGAAGAGTCCCTTGAGTAGTGGATTCATCCCTTCAATTTGAATGGCGGCAACGTGTGCAGGCCGGCTAAGAGCGTCTGCTTTGTTTTTGTGACCGGGCTTGTACACGATGTCGTAATGGAAGTGTGTCTCGAGGAAGTCGATCCACCGGACCTGCCGCCTGGAAAGATTGGGTTGTGTCTTCAAGTATTTCAGGCTGCAGTGGTCGGTGTAGACGGTTGTTCGTCGTCCTTCGAGATAACATCTCCACGCTTTAAAGGCGATGACGATGGCAAGGGCCTCTTTGTCGTGTATCGGGTAGTTTAGTTCTGCTCCGTGTAGTTTCTTGCTGAGGTAGGCGATTGGTTGCAGTCCATTCCACTGGTCTTGCATTAAGACTGCCCCCACTGCCTGGTCGCTGGCGTCAGCTTCGATTACGTAGTCGCGTTCGGGATCTGGCAAGATGAGTACCGGTGCGGACGTGAGTGCTTGTTTCAGCTGCTCCACGGCTTCCTGGTGCTTTGGTTCCCATTTATAGGGCGTGTTCTTCTTCAGCAGATTCGTGAGTGGTGCTACGATTTTCGCATATTGTGGCACGAACATGTTGTAGTAATTAGCGAAGCCTAGGAACTGCTGCAACTCCTTCACGTTCTCGGGTGTCTTCCACGTGCGTACGGCCTCGATTTTCTTGGGGTCGACGTGAACTCCTTGAGCGCTCACCATGTGTCCTAGGAACTGGACCTTTTCAAGGGCGAATTCGCTCTTGGACAGTTTGACGTAGAATTGTTCCTGTCGAAGAATTTCGAAGACGCGTCGCAGGTGTTCGACGTGCTGCTTCATGTCGCGCGAGTAGATGAGTATGTCGTCCAGGTACACCACCACGCATTCGTCCAGAAGTGGTCGTAGAATGTGGTTCATTTCGGCTTGGAACGTTGCCGGCGCGTTGGTGAGTCCGAACGGCATTACCAAATACTCGTACGATCCGTACCGAGTTCGAAAAGCAGTTTTGTGGATAGAGTTGTTCGCCAACCGTATCTGCCAGTATCCGGACCGCAGATCCAGTTTGGAAAATACCGTATTTTCGCAGAGTCGTATTTTTCCTCAGCGATTTTCCCTGGCGAGGACTGGTCGTGGGGTGGAGATTTTCCCCCATCATTTCCTCCTTCTCGCGTTGAATCAGCTTCGTCGAAGTTGATTTTTCCGGAATCCCGCGGCCGTTTTCGGATCCTTTTATTTTCGCCAGCTAGATCCGCAATCACTTGCGACTCCCGTTTTTTGACTTCTGATTGGCTGAAGGAATTCCGCCACTATTGCGTGCCCGATACTCTGCGCGTGCGGTCTTCATTTTGCTGCAGTCGAAGATTCGATGACCCGGCACCCTGCAAAAATCACACGTGTAGTTGGTGTTTTTCGGACGTGGCCGCCCCTCGAATCTGTCGACTTCCATTGGGTCGGCGAACGTGGGGTGAGCCGAGCGGTCGCCCTGTCGCGTACTGCCGACGTGCGCCCGTCGTGTTCCGGCGTTGACCATGTCGAAGCGCTCCACTGCCGAAACGACGTCACTGTAGCTCGCGTAGTTTGACGCTGCGACTTGTCGTTTGACTTCGGTCTTCAGCCCGGCGAGGTACGACTGTACTTTTTCCCCTTCGGTGAGGTCGGGAATGCGGTTATAAAATTCCTCCATCTGCTGCGTGTACTGTGCTACACTCCCGAACTGTCGGTGTCGATGAATTTTTTCCCGGGCAAGGAAACTGGAATTTATCGGCTCGAAGCGTTTCAGCAGGTCGGTGCGGAACTGCTGCCACGTGGCTTCACCGTGGATGAAATTACTGTTGCCGCCAATCCACTCGAGTGCCGGCCCTCGCATCAGTGTCGCCGCGAGTCGTACACGTTGTCCGTCCCAGACTGGCGAGCTCCATCCGACGGCTGCGAAGTAGATCTCCATCCCGGCGATCCATCTGCGGGCGTCGGAGTTTCGATCGCTCGGATCAAACGGCTCAGGTGGGCGCGGTTTCGGAGCCTCGAGAAACTGCTGCGACTGCTGCGTCGTCGCCGTTGTCGTCTCGTGCTGCGCTCCGGCGAGTCGAGTCACTCGCTCGAACTGGTTTCGCCACGCTTCGCGATCCGTTCGCATTTCCTCCTGAAGGGCTGCGATGCGCGCGAAGAGCTGCTGGGTAATCTCGGCGTTGTCGAAGGTTGCCATCCTGTTCAAAACACGCACGGAGGGGGTAATTCGAAAATCGCGGAGCTGGTGCTTACCAGAATCGGCGTCGAATTGGTCGCCCCCGGCGGTTTTTCGAGGCAGGATCCCCGCTAAAGCTGCTTAGCTGAGCGCGGTCGAGTGAGAAAAGCTCTGATACCAAGTGTCACAGGATCGAATGTGTCGAGGAAAGGTTCCACTATCGGTCAGTACAAGGTGTTTTTATACTTCCAAAGTACATCAGGTAACCAGGTTTATCTTATCCTAAGGGAATAGACCCTTCTAGAAGATAGAATCACCCTGCGTATAGCCACGCGATGCTATTGGCTTTAAGGGATTATGGCAGGATTACGCCAGATAGCGCACCAGTACATCCCAAGCCTGGTCGGTGATATAATTATAATAGCAGGATAAACCAAAGGTTAATGGAAAATGGAGAATAGGAAACCAAATGAGATGAGATAAAGAGAAATGAACGAGGAAGGAAAAGAAGAAAAGGGACAAGTGGTGTAACGGGGTCGTACTCTCACAGTAGGTGCCGGTGGATCTCCAAGATGACATATCCATGTCCATAGAAGCTATCCCCTGAGAAGCCCAGGGTCCCGAGATCGCCTAAGCGTAATAGCAAGGGCCATCCGGGTCGCCCTTAGGGATTAGGCGCATGAAGCAGAGATTAGGCGCGACCTCGGACAGGAAAGCTAGCTCGCACTACTGTCCTCTAGGACGTCACTGCTAAGGGCATGTGCACCCCTGACGTACACAGGACGGGCAGGGTCAGAGACCAGAGCAGGGGCGTAGTCAAGGCGGCAGGTAGAGGCAAAGTCAATAGCGATGGTGACAAGAGCGTCAAGACTTGAGACGGGAATGGACGGGTCCGTAACAAGAGTGGTGAGGACCCGAGGAACAAGAGGACTAGCAGCACGAAGAAAGTCAAAGAGAGGAGGCGGAGAGACAACAAGCGATGACTGAGGAGGCAATGGGAGAAGAGGAGCACGAGACGCGTAAGAACGGAGTAACATAGGGTGAGAACAGTGAACCAAGGAGACTGGACAAGCACGAGAGGGACGGCGAGACCAGAAGTGGGAAAAAATGGTCGTGTCAGGAGACACAAGAGGAGACACAAGAGGGGAGCGAGGGGGGAAACGAGTCAGGGACGAGTCTGGCGAAGGAAACACATGGCCGTTGACAGGTGGGGGAGGTGGTGGCAAGGGAGGGAAGGCGGAGGAGGCGAAAGGCAGACACCGGCGACGACTGCTGATGCTACTCCACGCCGACAACAGAGCCTCCGACCGCACCACAGCACCCCCAGAACGAGAACCTTCTCTAGCCCTGGTGCCACCCTAGGGCCGTCGAGACAAGCCACGACAGTACCCCTAGGACTAGCACCCCCAGAACCAGCACCCTCCCCAGCGCCCACACCCCCAGAGCTCCCGAACCACTACAGCGGAGGCTGCTGCTGCTGTGGTGACGACGGCAGTTGCTGTGGCGTTGACGATGGAGGAGGAGACACAGGGGCAGTGATAGGTGGCGAAACCTAAGCCGAAGGGCCCCAAGAGTCAGCCGAATCCTCCACCGAGACAACAGACGGAAGGGGAGTGACGTGAGATGCACCAGACAGGGCAGGACGGGGAGGGAGAGGAGCTGTGGCTACCGTGGGAGTGGGGACCAGGAACAGGGGCGGGGTAACTGGGAGACCTCAGTGGGGAAAGCGGGTCTAGAAGGAGACAGACTCGTAAAAAACGACGTCAAGAAGCGGTGAGACGGCGGGTGGTAAAAGTGCCAGCCCGACGCGTCAAGGGGGAAACCAAGGAAGACACAAGGGTTGGAGCGGGCAGTGAGCTTGTTCGTGCCAGAAGTACGAACGTGAGCGAGGCAGCCCTAGACGTTGAACGCGGACGCGTCACTATGGGATCCGGTCCAGAGGAGGGTTGGCGAAACCTGCGGTTGCTTGGAGTGCCGCCACAGGTTAAGCTCGTGAGCAGCATAGCGAACAGCGAACGGCCGCAGAAAATGGGGTGCATCGTTATGGATCATCGAGGTATGAGCCACCTCCGTTTCGTCGCTCACCAACCTCATTCTTTTGCGGGGAGTCCGAGAGGGTGTACGACTAGGTGATGCCCTCTGCACGACAGAGCTGGCCAAGCCCACAGGAGGCGAACTCGCCACCACGGTCCGAGTGGAGACGCAGCATGGGGAGGTTGTGGTGGACTCGCGCAGCTACGACCCACGGGATAAGAACGTCAGGCACGTCGGCCTTCTGCTACAGGGGAAACACCATGGTGTAGCGCGTGTAGTCATCAACGAGCACCAGAAAGTAGAGCTCGCGACGCGGCCCGAGGACGGGGCTGGGCCCCAAACGTCCAGGTACAGGGTCTGGAGTGGCGCAGCGGTGGGGGAAAACGAGGAGGAGTGAGGAGCACGGCGCAGCCGGCCCTCGACGCAGGGCGTGCTCGGAGGCGCGAGCGAGGGAGGGAGGGCAGGAAGCCACTTAGGGAGACCAAAGACAAGATCGTGCTGGGATATATAACACAGACGCGGAAGAGCGGGGCGACCTAGGCGGTGGTGCCATGAAAGTGACGACTGAGTGAGCGACCGACAAGAGCAAGCCGCCCCGACCTCGGTTGACGCAGCCACCTGGGGGGATGCTCCCACCGAGAGGGACGCGGTGTCTAGCATGAAGAGGCCAGACACCGGGTCCCGGGGGAACGTGGTGAGGAGGGCACCAGTGGCGGCCTAGGTACAGACTGCGTGCCGCTTGTGGCCAGGGAACGCAGTGGTGACGCCAAGGTCCTGAAGACAGCCGACACCAACTAGGTCCCTGGTGGACGAGGGGATGTGCAAGCCGATAAGGGAGCCCGAGGGAACTGTCAGACATGGAAGGGTGGTGGAGCTACGAGCAACTACCGGACCTGAGGAGGGGTCAGCAAGCGCTACAATGGTAGGGGTGGCAAGTGGCGTGAGCATAGTGCGGTCACGAAAGAAGCACGCAGATGCTCCAGAGTCTAGCGTGTAGGAGAGTGTGACGGTAGCGTCAGATGGCGGGGGCACTACTGTGGAACCTAGGCTAACAAAGCAGGAGATTGTACGCCTGACGCAGTAGGGGAGCCTAGACTATGCACTGTGGATACACCTACACTCGGCAATACAGGGCAATAGGGTCCAGTGGCACTAGAGTCATCAGCATACATGACATACAAAGCAGCGCTAACCTGATCCATATCCATCTCAAATACCGATACATGGCAACGTACCAGGCTGTGCCAATCGGGGAGGTCCGGCGCAGGGCCGAAGCGGAGACGGAAGAGCTCGTCGAGGCGGCGGTAGCAGCGAGTTGGCGGTGTGATCCTGACGGTCGCACACAGTGCCGCAACGGGGGCTGGTCTGGAGCTGGTAATGGCAGGTCACTGCACTGGAGCCGCCACCTGACGTTGAGCTGCGCGCGTCGCCACAGCGACCGCCACCACCAAAGACGCCAAGCCACCGGGGGGGCGAATGTCCCCACGGCTGATGCTGCTGAGGCTCCCGCTGCTGCGTCGGGGTATGAGCCTCGGTCCCCTCGTCTGCACCATAGGCACTCGCACCACCTCCGCCACTGCCGCCACCCCCACCACCCCTCCCTCTGCCATGCCCCCCCTTGGGGTGGCGCCCCCTACTTTGACATGACCGTGCTGAGGCCGCCGCGGTGGACTCAGCAGCATGGGCTGTCTCAGCGGCAGCGGCAGACATGTCAAAGTAAGTGCACTGGGAGGGAGCACAGCCCTAGATGATAGGGACTGCCGCAGTACCACTGGACTGAGCGATAGCATGCTGGCGGGTGTCTATTATGGACAGGGTGGTGACGAAATCGGTAAGGGTGAGGCCAGCGGGGCGGGGACCTAGGAAGTGGTCGCGGGTAGTAGC